GATTTTGTTGTTGTGAGAGAGATATTTTTACCTGAGAAGGTCTACGTTGTTTATGAGAGAAAGTTCAATTGTTTTGACAAAAACATGTACTAATGTGAACTCATTAAGTTGTTCGACCTATCTCATCCTTTAGTGCCAGAAGTATAACTATCCCGGTTAGCAGTGGTTTCAGGCTAACGAGGTGATTACGAATATGAGTAATGTTAAGCATGTTTTTGAAACTTTGTATGCCTTAAAAAAAGACGTCATTTAAATTTTATTTTATTTGAAAATATGCAACTTTGATTTAATTATGTAATAATTACGTTTTACTAGTCAGACTAGGTTCATTTTGATTCATGATGCAAATTTATTTTCACAGTGGTGTGAATTGGTTTTTTTTTTTAAACATCAACTCTTGACACTAAATCGTTGTTGCGTTTATTTAGTTTGTGGTCTGTTTTAAAAAAAAAATAAAGAAAAAGCCCACACTTGTATAAAGTATATGGTATATCATGTCCTTTTTTTAGTAGATGAAAACTCTGTCATTCTGTAAGTATCCCTATAGGTTAATGAATGTATGTATAATATGTTATTCAACATAACGACACTACTATGGCAGAGTTTCAAACCAAGCAAGTCAACCCCCCCCCCCCTCCGAACCGAAATGGAATTTATATAGAAAAACATATACTTTTACCAGTGCCCCCCCCCCCCCGGAAAATGTTGACCATCCCCCCTCGAAAAATATCAAGAAGTGTCGTTCCCCCCCCCCCCCCCCCCCCCCCCCCCCCCCCCCACTGAGAAAAAAAAGTCTTAAAAAAACACTTCTATGGCCATCAGTTAAACACGGATTCACGGCTGAGGAAATTTGAATAGAAAAAAATAAATGCAACATGATATGACGATGATAAAAATGGATTGGTGTATCAAAAATTAGATACTGAGTCTTAAGTCCACACACCCACCTTTAAAGAAGACACGTCACTGTAACTAGGAGAACAAGAAAATGACAGACGAAAATACATTTTATTTAATCCCAGTAGCGTCACCAGGTTTGGTGTTCCCTAGTAACGAAAGGCGTTGCTGTCCCCGTTTTAAGAAAAGAAGATACACACACACACACACACACATACATACATATATATATATATATATATATATATATATATATATATATATATATATATATATATATATATATATATATATATATATATATATATATATATATATATATATATATATATATATAAGTATAAATTGCCCCCCTCTCCATACATTTCCCCAACATTTCTCCCAACATCAATGTCATTAATTTATCCAATACCAACCACTTTAAAAGTCCTCTCTCAGAATTAGTGGTAAACAAAAAGGATTACTGTTTGATATGATTAGTCATAGGGCAGATTCTAAAATAAAAATAGTATTAAGTTTTAATGTAAAATACTTATTGACAAATACATCAATAGACCTTGGCCATAACCAACAACTACATTACCAGAACTTGGCCATAAACAACAACTACATCACAAGAACTTGGCCATAACCAACAGCTAGATCACCAGACCGCGTTTTGCAGATGTGACGATGAAAAAGAGCACCAGTTCGCACTAAATAAGTTACAGTTCTTTAATAAAAGGGTACATTCAACGTATCGCCTTAACCATAAAATTATTCCTGAAAGGAAAATCACACAGATAACACAAAAAACCATTTCTTTCAAATATTCACATAATCGACTAACACAACGTGATTTTTTATTATATATCAAAGTTACAATAAATATAATAAACTATCATCACAGTTTTAGACTGCCTAAATATATATAAATTGCGAGGGGATTTCGAACTTTAAAAATTATATTGTTTTTACTTTGTAGGCTTGACAATAAAATACGTAGTATCCAGATCAAGTTTGTTGCCTGTATACCCGGACGAAGACCGCGACCTTTCGTCCGTCTGTGACCCCAAAGGTTTGATCTCGTACGTCGTGTATTTTCTATCAATTTTATTCTCCAGGAGCGAATCATTCACAGCCTCGACTACTTCGCTTCTCAGAGGCAATCTTTCCTTGTTGTATTTCTTCGGGTCGGCGCTTGACCCAACAGCCGGGTCGACGGTCCTGATACTACTTTTACTATATCTGCTACCTTTTTCTGAACCGGGGACCGTCCCGTTGTTTTTCTCGCACAGCGACACCGCGTCGAATTTTAATTCGTCTTGGTCTGCCGACGAGGCTTTGGTGAAGCTGGATTCTCTCGCCATTGACGCGGAGTACGCTGAGCTTTGGTCGCGGTGGAGCTTCTTCAGTTCCGGTTTCCATCTCCACGGTACGGTCGTGATCATGACGCGGTAAACGTTCCGGTACTCGCTTCGCATCGCCGCGTAGATGGGAGCGTTGACCATCGAGTTGGCGAAGCTGCAGATCCCCGTGGCGGTGCGCATGATCTCGGCTGTTTTTTTAGAGATGACGTTGTTGAGTTTGAGAGGGAGGACTAAATAAAACGGCACCCATAGGATGATAAACAAGACCGTTAGTACCAGCGTGATTTTTATCGAGCTGATCCTAGCGTCAAAGGTTTGGATTTGTTCCGTAGTCCAAACGGATTTCTCCATCTTGAAAGATTTAATCTGCCTGTAAACGATCACCGTGATGTGGATATTAATCAACGTTGAAATCAGAAGAAGAACTTGCCCGGGGTAGGATATAAAAATAGTAATATACAGCGAGGGGAGCGATTTTGTCATCTCGCAGCGCATGCTTAACCTGGGCTCGGTTGAGTTGTACGTGTTCCAACCCAACGCGGGTAGCGACACGCGGAACAGCGTGTACACCCACAGCCCGGCCACGACCTTGACCGCTCGCTCCGTCGTCACCCAGGTCTTGTATTTCAAGGGGAACAAAATAGCCAGGTACCGGTCTACGGAGATGATCAACAAGGAGTACAGCGACCCGGAAGCTGAAAACCCAATGGATGCGGATTTAAACAAGCAGAGGTACTTATTCCCCGCGATGACGCTGTTCAAAGACGGCACCCGCGTCATGACCAAGATAGGCAGGGCGACGAACCCCAACAGGAAGTCGAATATGGCCAGGGATAACAAAAAAATATTGTTGCTGTTGTAGAAACCAGGGTACAGGAGGATGCCGAAGAAAATGAGGATGTTGGAGAAGACTATGATCGGGATGTATATGAGTCCAATAACGATGAACACCTTGTGGGATAACTGTACGTCCGGGTCGTTGTATAAATCTGTGTTTCGACCCTCCGGTCGGTGTTGGATGTCGTCAAAGATGAACTCCATTCTGTTTTTCAAGTATATGAATGGCACTGTAATCAATTGAATAGAATTTATTTTGTAAGTAGGATAAATACTTTTAAATAAATTCCCACAACACACATACACACAGAGATTAAACACGCATATGATATATATATATATATATATATATATATATATATATATATATATATATATATATATATATCAGTGGCGTCGCTAGGTCGGGTGTCACACCCCCCCCCCCACTTATTTTTTCTCTGTAAATTTTACAAATAGTGTCATCATATGGGGTTGTCCATAAATGACGTCACACTCGTGGGGGAGAGGGGCGGGTCCGTAATTTTGTGACGGTGTGTGATATATATATATATATGTATAGGCCTATAAATATATATATATATATATATATATATATATATATATATATATCAGTGGCGGAACTAGAAAAAAAGGGCCACCCCGCAAAAAAATTGTTTGGGCCCCCCGCCCATATATATATATATATATATATATATATATATATATATATATATATATGTATATATATATATATATATATATATATATATATATATATATATATATAAAATATATATACAATAAAAAAATACGAACATTGGATGCTCATTGCATTTGGAGAACCTCTAGTAAAAAAAATTTCAACATCATGTCATGTGCGTAACTGCATCAGTGTGTTTGGAGAAAATCAGTTTTAATTAATGTTTGTTAGAAGCCCACTTAACATCTAGTCGATCAAAATAATATAAAACATGAAAGCTTTGTATAAAGTAATGGTGTCTCGTGTTATGTTTATTTTTATGTTTGTTTTGTATTTATATTAGTAATTTTTAAAATATTATTGATTTAATACATTTTCTTTTTATAAAATGTAATTCTCTAGTAATTACTTAATAAAAAAATAATAATTAAGAGAAATAATTGCTTTTAAATTTGTTAGTACAAATCTATTAAAAGGAGCTTATTATTACCCCTATTTGACTGGTTTTTAAAAAGGGAAATAAGCCATGGAAGTGGTTTGAAAATTTGCTTATCTTTGATAAGTTTAGTTGTAGGAGAAAGACTCGGCTTTCACAATGGTTTAAAAACAAAGGGAAAAAGAATATACAAGAGCGTGGGGTGGTGTCTATAGAATAAAGATAATCCAACCGCAGCCACGGTAATTTTTTACAAAACAACCATCAAGTCAAAAATTAAAGAAAATTTACATTATAAAAAAATTTATTAATGGTCGGCTCTGGGCCCCTAAATGGCGTGCCCCCCCCCCCCCCCCCCCCGCATTGCGGGGTCTGGCGGCACTGTAGTTCCGCCCCTGATATATATATATATATATATATATATATATATATATATATATATATATATTTGTGTGTTTATTTATTATCAGATGAGCGTATTATATAACTGGAAAAGGTTAAAAATTACCGCCTTAACACTTACCAGCATCGTTCTATATTTGGTCCACTTTAGCCTACTGTTAGTGTTGAATTATTTATAAACAAAATGATTATGATACTGATGGGGACATAAAATTTTTGTTAAGAACTAAATATTTTTATTATCATTAAATAGATCTAGATCGACGTTAGAGTCAGTAATTATTTTAATGTAGATCTAGATCTAGTGTGTATCGTGTGTAGACCTGCATAACTAAATGAACTGTCTTAGAGTCAATTTTTTTAAAATTAAAAAAAGTAGGCTACCCTTAAAATCTTTAACATAGGTGAAGCCATGTTCTTAGTGGTCAGTTTGATAAAGATACTATCGAAATTGTAATTTTTCAAGTGTGTAAACTGAACTGTAAAAATTCTGTATCATTCTCTCAAGCATGTAAACAGGAAGCAACAATCAACAAGCTCGACATAGCTTTTTGGTTTTGAGGATAACTTTTGTTTCTTTGCGCCTAATAAGTAGTGAGGTTTTAGTGGTGTCGTAAATAAGAATAATACGCAACAAGCTTCAGCAGTCAAATCGAGTGGGTTAGAAAATATTTTGAACGTGTTAGTTATTAATAGGCTATTGTGGGGGGGGGGGGGGGGGGGGGGCAGAGTTTCTTGCAGGCATCTCTTCGGGGGTGCTCCGCCCCCCCCCCCCCTCCCCACCAGAAGAAAGTCTACCGCCCCCCCCCCCCGAACGAGATTGATTTTATATAGTAAACATTCACTTTTACTAGCGTCCGCCTCCATCCCCCCCTGCCCCCCCCCCCGAATAAAATGTTGACCACCCCCCCCCCCCTTAGAAAAGTCTGGAAGAAACACTGGGGGGGGGGGGGGCTAAAAGTTGTTTGTATGAAGCTGTTGAGTAGATCCGACTTTTGTTCATGTCGATAATAGAGAAAAGATGTGTTTGTGTTGTAGCTCTTGAAGCTAATGTTTGTTAATACAAACCTGTTAAAAGTTACTGTTTGGTAATACGGACTCGTTAGAAGATTAGCTTTAGTAACACAGTCTTGTTAAAATCGACTTTTTGGTAACAAACTTGTTCGAAGCTAATGTTTGGGAACACAGACTTTTATCTGTGGTCACAAGCTAATGAAAGCTTTATTTTAATTTAGAGCATTAAAGATGAGTAAGCATGTTTCCAATCAACCTAATTACAGTAATAAAACCATCCGCTCAAAGCGTACATCACCACAAGCACAGACCACCGCAAAAACCACAACTCGCACCAAGCACCACAACAATCACAAAACATTCAAAAAAGCATCACAACAAGCACAAGTAAAAAACTAAACAAATGTGCAACACCACACATCAAGACATACACACAATTGCACATTTCTACTTCACCCAAAACATTACACCAGCTACATTTAAATCAAATGTACTCTCAATAATCACATGGGACAGCATGGTGGTTGACTGCTATCCCAAAAGTCTCTAGTTCAGATCCCGCGCTTGAGTGTGAAAAATGTCTTGGTCCACCCAGCTCTGATGGTTACCTGACACGTTAGGAAAACAGTCGACTGGGCATAGTGCTGACTACACTATCTCCCTGTATGACAAGGTAACTGTAACAGATAAACTCTACTTTATCTACCCCATGTATCTTGGGCTAAAACTGGAGAAGAAGATGATCCTTAACGATCACACTGACCTGATAAAACTTACACAAAAAAATAATTCAAAATTTAACAAACCAAGATTTTATTATTGCAGTTATTGATGCATTGAAATAAATTATCACAAGTTACAGCATGCATTGACAAAAAATTGTTATTTACAACCTATCAATAAATAATTTATAACAACAAATAGTCGAAGGCAACTTCTGGGCCTTTCTCCAGCATTAGTTACTTGCACAACACAAGCCACTGCAGGCATCATTGGAACTAAAAATATCTAATCATGAACAAAGATTGAGTGATATATCTAATCATGAACAAAGATTGAGTAATATATCTAATCATAAAATGAAGATTATGCAAATCATGAATTCTGATATATAACTAATCATAAAATGAAGATTCATTGAATAATGAATTCTTTTTTTTTACATAATCATAAAAACAATTGAGTAAATCATGAATTCTGTTATTTATCTAATCACAAAAACAAAGATTGAGCGAATCATGATTTCACAACTTTTAGTCATGGCTGTTGGCTCAGAAACATCAAATGCAAATTTGTTTTAAAGGCTCAGGTTTATGAGGAATGTGTACAAGAATTATGGTTATGTGGTTCACGATATTAACAGTATTGTTACTGACACCAAATAAAAAGTCTGCCTATGTCCTAGAGAGCCCATCTCTATTTAAATAGGTCTATCATGTCCAACAAGGTCCACCCATGTCAAATTAGGTCCACCCATGTCCAACAAGGTCCACCCATGTCAAATTAGGTTCACCCATGTCCAAACAAAGTCCACCCATGTCCAACAAAGTCCACCCATGTCCAAACCAAATCCACCCATGTCCAAACAAAATCCACTCATGTCCAACAAAGTCCACCCATGTCCAAACAAAGTCCACCCATGTCCAAACAAAGTCCACCCATGTCTAACAAAGTCCACCCATGTCCAAACAAAGTCCACCCATGTCTAACAAAGTCCACCCATGTCCAAACAAAGTCCACCCATGTCCAAACAAAGTCCACCCATGTCCAAACAAAGTCCACCCATGTCCAAACAAAGTCCACCCATGTCTAACAAAGTCCACCCATGTCCAAACAAAGTCCACCCATGTCTAACAAAGTCCACCCATGTCCAAACAAAGTCCACCCATGTCCAAACAAAGTCCACTCATGTCCAACAAGGTCCATCCATGTCCACCATGTCTAACAGTTAAAGTCCACCCATGTCAAATAAAGTCCACCTTGTCCCACTACATCCACCATAACCATAAAAGCTCCAAGTTGAGTCAGACATCACCATATCAGATGTCCATTGAGGTCCCCCTTGTCCCACTACATCCACCACAACCATAAAAGCTCCATGTTGAGTCACACATCACCATATCAGATGTCCATTGAGGTCCACCTTGTCCCACTACATCCACCACAACCATAAAAGCTCCATGTTGAGTCACACATCACCATATCAGATGTCCATTGAGGTCCCCCTTGTCCCACTACATCCACCACAACCATAAAAGCTCCATGTTGAGTCACACATCACCATATCAGATGTCCATTGAGGTCCACCTTGTCCCACTACATCCACCACAACCATAAAAGCTCCATGTTGAGTCACACATCACCATATCAGATGTCCATTGAGGTCCACCTTGTCCCACTACATCCACCACAACCATAAAAGCTCCATGTTGAGTCACACATCACCATATCAGATGTCCATTGAGGTCCCCCTTGTCCCACTACATCCACCACAACCATAAAAGCTCCATGTTGAGTCACACATCACCATATCAGATGTCCATTAAGGTCCACCTTGTCCCACTACATCCACCACAACCATAAAAGCTCCATGTTGAGTCACACATCACCATATCAGATGTCCATTGAGGTCCCCCTTGTCCCACTACATCCACCACAACCATAAAAGCTCCATGTTGAGTCACACATCACCATATCAGATGTCCATTGAGGTCCACCTTGTCCCACTACATCCACCACAACCATAAAAGCTCCATGTTGAGTCACACATCACCATATCAGATGTCCATTGAGGTCCACCTTGTCCCACTACATCCACCACAACCATAAAAGCTCCATGTTGAGTCAGACATCACCATATCAGATGTCCATTGAGGTCCACCTTGTCCCACTACATCCACCACAACCATAAAAGCTCCATGTTGAGTCACACATCACCATATCAGATGTCCATTGAGGTCCACCTTGTCCCACTACATCCACCACAACCATAAAAGCTCCATGTTGAGTCAGACATCACCATATCAGATGTCCATTGAGGTCCCCCTTGTCCCACTACATCCACCACAACCATAAAAGCTCCATGTTGAGTCACACATCACCATATCAGATGTCCATTGAGGTCCACCTTGTCCCACTACATCCACCACAACCATAAAAGCTCCATGTTGAGTCAGACATCACCATATCAGATGTCCATTGAGGTCCCCCTTGTCCCACTACATCCACCACAACCATAAAAGCTCCATGTTGAGTCACACATCACCATATCAGATGTCCATTGAGGTCCACCTTGTCCCACTACATCCACCACAACCATAAAAGCTCCATGTTGAGTCAGACATCACCATATCAGCTGGGAACTGTAACTAATGATTCCACCTCTTCTAGCAAGGCTGTTGTTTTCTCTTCCAGAATATTCTACAAAACAAAAAACAACTGCTCAATGCAATATTAAATTAAATAATTTGTTAAACTACTTTGTTATAAATAATTTAATGTACAATATGGTTAACTATTCATTACAGCATATTAAAAACCAACACCATTAATCCTCAAACAAAAGTTTAACCTTAAATTTTACAACCATAATTTTACACAAAATATTTACCAAACATTTTACAGTTTATCATTATTTTTAACACAAAAAGATTATTCATTTACAAGCACAAAGTCAAAGACACTTTAAAAATAACTCAATCGTTAATGCAATGACTTATTTACAAATTATAGAATAAACTTCCTACTATGGCAGAAGATATCATTTGTTTGGCAGCTCGACGAGACAGATGCTCCACACTCTTGACCAGAGTGTCTACGCTGGCTGATGCAATCATGGCAATATTTCTATAGCCAGCGGCATACAACTGATTAGCTCTTCCCTGAATAAAGAGAAATCTGTGTCAGGTCTAAACTCATCAAAATCTTGGGTTCAAACACTAAATTTGGTCTTTTTAACTTCAACCAGGGACAATATTTATTGGCAGTGAAATTTAACTTGACACAGTAATATTTCTAACTAGAGAAGTTAGAAGTTATAAGCAAAATTTCAAGTGTTGTTTCTATTTTTACAGAACAGGGGACGCTACTCACTATTTTTACACCAGGAATTTCCATAAGAGGAATCAGCTCCATTTTTACACAGTAAGAAAATTTCTTTATAAAGTTGGTCATTAAATCTTGGTAGGCCCAGAATTCTTCAAGCTCCTTAAATAAAAAAAAAAAGTAAGGATCAATAATACTTGAGTTACTAGATGTGTCATGTGCCGATTAGGATAATGGTCCAATAAAAAGGTATACCTTAGTCAGATTACAATACTAATTTGGATAATGATTATTAAAGCATGTGTGTCACAGTAATTCAGAATAGTAAAATTACAAAGCCATTCAAGACTTGGATATCATGTAACATGGGAAAAAACAATCTGAACTTGGGAAGAGAAAGTAAAAATCTATGTTTGTTTATAGGTAAGTGAGAAAATCAAAGCTAGTTTCTCACAGGATATGAAGGAAAAACTAAGCTGCATTCAGAACAGAAAGTAAAATAAAAAAATCTAAGCTACCTTCAAAATAGATAGTAAAATAAAAAATCTAAGCTAGCTTCTCACCTGACAAAAATGGAACACGCATGAGGCAAAAGTGGCAGACTGTGTGAGCAAGTTTTGTATGAAGCCCCGAGATTGGGAAAACTTTTCTGCGACGTCCCACACAGACTTCTGGTTCCAGAGGTTCCAGAGTATCAAACTTAAGTAAAAACGGTTCATGGTCATCTCAGAGAATTTCTGATCATATCAGAAGAAAGATTTTTGTTAAGCATTAACATGGGCATTCAAGTAATAAAATATATTAATGATGTTTAACTTTTACAAACTATTCAATGTGGTGTAATTATCTTTTGCCAATTTTTTTTGGTTAAGTACATCGTTTTTTTTTAAATTATTAGTTTTCCAATGTGGTAACATTAATCTGTTACAATTCTTCATGTTCTTCATAAGAAATAATTATAATTTTAAAAAAAATAATTTTCTTTTCCTCTAGGCTTTTCTTTACATTTCAGGTTTTTGTATAATTCCCTAGAATTTTTATGAACCAACAAAATTATAAGCAAACTTGAAAAAGAAAAAAAAAATGCTTTCCTATTTGATGAGATTTATAAAAAAAAAAACTTTAAAAGAAATTTTAAAATTACTTTTCTAGGTTTTCGACCTGATGCCATTAGGCCAACATAGTTCTCTGGTACACCAATAATTTCTGCAGCCTTGACCTCCAACTCTGACAGTTTGAAGAACTAGAGGGTACAATTTTATTGTCATTAATACACAAATTCAGACAGGAATTCATTCATAACAAAGATAATTTTGTTTTGATCAGTGATCCACCAATCATAACCTGATTTAAATAAACATGTTTCATGTCACAATGTTACACTTATTCTCACCTGAAATAAATGAGTGTTCGGTTTAATGTCATGAGATATAAATATTTTTAATAAATATTTGAGTTTTTTTTTAAAATTTATTATCATCTTATTTTAAAAATGTGTTCTATTTATCATAACCTGATTTTAATGTTCCATTTATCGAAACCTGATTTAAATTAATGTTCCATAAACTTTAGACAAACAAACACACAAGCAGTTGATCCTCACCTGGTTTAGATAGACATTCCAGTCTGGCTTGATGGTGCTAGCCATGTCATAAGGTGTCACCAGGTAGATCAGGTGGAGGTGGGTGTCCACATTGAGGGAGCCTTTAGCCTTCTCTAAGTCCTCATACAGCTGTCTGCTAAATGAATGGTCGATGGATCCTAATAAAAGAAAAATGTTTTACTATATATTCCCTAGCCTGAGGTTAAGTACCCATCAGATTTGCGTGGACTCTGGACATTCTACTGATTTGAGCCGAGGATTGAAACTAAGACTTTTAGGTTAGCAGTTGTGTTTATCATCTGAACATGCTATCTTTACACCAAGCTGCCTTTATTTTCCCTAACCTAAAGTTAGGTACCTATCAGTTGGACGGACTAAGTTATGTTCTACGGAATCGAGCCAGGATTCTAGTTGTGTGGTCTACCATCTAAACTACACCATCCCTTTAACTAATTATACGCAGTTAACCCTGGACTGTTCAATGATAAGCTAGGGACAGACAGTTAACCCTGGACTGTCCAGTGATGAGCTAGGGACAGACAGTTAACCCTGGACTGTCCAGTGATGAGCTAGGGACAGACAGTTAACCCTGGACTGTTCAATGATAAGCTAGGGACAGACAGTTAACCCTGGACTGTCCAGTGATGAGCTAGGGACAGACAGTTAACCCTGGACTGTTCAATGATAAGCTAGGGACAGACAGTTAACCATGGACAGTCCAGTGATGAGCTAGGGACAGACAGTTAACCCTGGACTGTTCAATGATAAGTTAGGGACAGACAGTTAACCCTGGACTGTCCAGTGATGAGCTAGGGACAGACAGTTAACCCTGGACTGTTCAATGATAAGTTAGGGACAGACAGTTAACCATGGACTGTCCAGGGATCTAGCTGTGTGGTCTAACCACACCATCCCTTAAACCAAGTACCACACAGTACTGAAAAGTAACTCACCTTTGAAAGTTGCCTTTCCCAAAGCAGTGACCTGCAGGAGGTACCTCTCATCCAACGTGTTGTCATCAAGGACTTTGGTCTGCAGCACTAGCCCCTGGTCAATCAGGTACTGGAGTGAGTCGCGTGTCATTTGGGTGACATCAACACCCAGACCTGAGGCTTGGATGTAAAGCAGGGACTTCTTCAGGAGGTCAAAGGCCGACTCTGTTGTGGTGACCAGCTGTGAAAGAAATGGTTTGTTAACATTATACCAGTATACAAGCAAACAATGATGCCAACAAATTTTTTTTTTTCTGGTTTAATTTTAAATTCAAAATAGTTTGACTACATTTTCTTTCTAACATAATTTTTAAAAAAATGTAAATGTATTTAAACAAGATAACAACAGTATGGTAATATAAGAAAAGACAACAGTATTGTAATATAAGAAAAAAGATTTGATTATAAATTAGCTTACATTTTTTTTTTATTTGACATAATGATAAAGTACCTTCAGTAGTAGACAGTATGATTTTGTTTACATAGTGAAATTTGATGAAATACATTTAACTTCATTTTCGTAAAAAAAAAAATTAGAGTTTCTATTTTTAAAAGTATTTAGTCATTTTGAGGTTTATTCTAATAAAACATAATGTCCTACAGAAAAAAACTTAACACAAAAAATAATTTTTGATCCATTTCAAGAAGTTTAACTTCAGGTATCCTTCCTGGATGAGAGTTACCTACCTTTAGACCAATGGCAGAGAGTAACAAGAAAGTGATCCCCTTGCCGTTGTCATATGCTAAGCTACTGTGGCAGTAATCTTTTGGACCAGCCAGAAGTGCTCTCACCTGTAAATAAAGAAACAATTACACTGAGATGTATTGGACAACCAAAAGCAAAGCTAAAGCTTCTCAAAACATCTGCTGAATGGTAGTCTAGCTGGTACTTCAACAAGGAAAATTATTTTCAAAGTTTAATAAATTTTCCATCAGTTTTACAAGTTATTTGGTTTAATTTTAAGATGGCAAATTCTGACACGACTAATTTTAAATTCTCTTAAAAAACTCCAGCTGTTTCCCAGACTATCCCACTCTGATATACTTTGCACTAAAGAACACAACACCAGAAATTAGTAGCTGCTACTCGTATAAATCAATTATTTACACAGGAATTAGAAGGAAAGTAGAATTTTTAAAAAGTCACTGCTCCCTTTATGCAGAAAAACTTACCTTCATCCTGTCAGTACTGTTTGCAATAAGAATGCTCTCCCCTGATGAATCAATCCCAGCTCTCCCTGCTCGCCCAGTCATCTGTTTGTATTGGCTGTACTTGATGAAAGTCTTGCCTATGTATGGGCTACGGAGTATTACTCTGTAACAAAGTTTGGAAACAGAATTTTTAAGAACACATCTTTCTATATTGGCAGTCATTAATAAATTGTTCCACAACAAACAGAGATAACTTCTACACAACTGTACATTACTAGAACATCATTTGCCACCAAACACATTTCCTACATAAAATTATCTTTAAAACCATTCCTTTACAAAAATAGTAGTAGCAGCCATATTACAAAAACAAAGCAATAACTACTTTGGCTAATATAATAATAAGTTGCTAATGCACAAATCATGTTCATTTTTAATTTATAGCTTGTAAATTCAACTTTGGGCATAATAATAACAGCATTGAGAGTATCCGTCAGAATAAATAAAATGAAATGTAAAAAGGAGTAAAACTATAAGACCACACCTTACACAATGTTCTATACTCTTAATAGAGTTAATATAGTCATGAATTAATTAATCAACTATGAAACTTATAAACCTCATGGCAGGCAAGTTGACACCTGCAGCCAAGGTAGACGTACAGGTAAGCAGGCAGAGCACACCCGCGGAGTAGGCCTCCTCTATCAGGTGCCTCTCGTCCATGGTCAAGCCACTGTGATGGTAGGCAATGCCAAAGTGAACTGTGTACTCCAGCACTGGGCAGATCTGCCCTTCACCTGCTTGGAGCAGCTCTTGAAGCAGTTGTTTACGTTTTGGTTTGTTCACCTCAGCCAGGTGTCTGATTAAACAAAAACAGATGTGTATTAACATTATTTTAAAATTATATGTTATCAGCAATGTGTAAAAGCTGTCATTCTATAGAATACATAGGTAAATATACTTCATAATTCTATCATATTTTATTCATTTTCTAGTCATTCTATAGAATACCAAACAACAAACAGGTAGAAAATTCCTCCATCTGTGTTAGGGTTAGGGTTAGAAAGAAAATTAAGTGCAATTCAAAATGCCATTCTAACTTTCTGTGCTGCAACAAATTTTTGTCATTCTTTATAATGCCTAGGCATTTTATGTAATGCCGAGGAGAAGTATTTAACAATGCTAATATTTCATACCTTGTCTGAAAACGACAGGGATTTCATACATTGCCTAAGTATTTTATAGAATGCCAGACTTTATACATTTCCGGTAACATGTATATTATTTCTTTTCTAAATTACAAATTTATAACAAAAAAAAAATCTACAGCATAGATATTTAGTCACTCTATGCAGATGCTTTACATACATAACAACCATATTAAATCATATTGATTTGTTTTCAAATATTTGGGAGATTGTGCCATTTGTTTAAATGAACTGTGCTATCCTTGTAAAGAAAATGTTAATTTAATTTACTCATATATCAATACATCTTTCTTATAATCTCAAAAAGTAAAAATATTCCTATCAAATAAAAAATTATTTCATCTAATCAGAATTAAAAGAATAAAAAATTAATAAGAGAACATATTGCATCTGAGCAAGATTTCTCTTCTAAATTAATTATGTTATTCAATATATCTTCAAATGAATAAAGAAGTTCACAAAAGTTTAGGTAGTTAGGGCAACTTGGAACATCTTTACAAAGTGGGGATGGGTTGGTTAGGATGATTAATATTAATGTAACTTTTCACACGTTTGGATAACCTAGTTAGTTTGGCTTACTAGATATGACTAGATTATAAGTATTCAATTTGCTGGAATAAGTTAAGAGAGGTGACTTGGTTAGGATGAACTGGATGATGTGTGCCACTCAACTATTGGAACCACTCACCTCTGGTGCTTACAAATGAGTTCACTCAACATGCGGGCAACATTCTCACAATTTTTTTTGGTGGAGCAAAACACTAGGCAGGAGTTGGCTGGGATGACTTCTGTCACCAGACCATACAGGTGGTCAGGGTCACGCTGCTGTAACTCTTTAGTGTACTGAAACAAAAATATCAGTGTGAAAATTGCTGTAACTCTTTAGTGTACCAAAAAAATAGTGCTTGTGATATTGCAACATGAGGAGTTAAAAAGAAAAACACTCTTTCAACTATTGAAAGTTTACGGTACTGAAAAAATAACAGTTTGTCAAATTGATGTAACTGTTTAGTGTACTGAAACAAAAATACAATAGTGCTTTTCATATTGCATATGAGTTAAAAAGGAGAACACTCTTTAAACCATTGAAAGTAGTAACACAGAGGATGAAGACAGTTGGGCCATGTGCTAAGATTGTGAGCAGATGGACTACCTTTCAGATGGACACCATAGGGCAACAGAAAATGGGGGCGGCTAAAGAGAAAGAGTTGAAGGAGAGGCCTAACGTTCCATAGGCGGAGGTTATAGCTAGGGATAGGACAAAATGGCACTCACTTGTTAATCCCTTGTGTGCCAGTAGGAGTTGAGAGATGATGGTGATGATCACTCAAGTTAAAAAAACTTCTTCTGTGTAAATATTATTATTGCTTTTTTTGTTTAACATTGACTTTACCTGGAATGTGATGAATCTGTTATGTTCCAGTTTTTCTTCTTCAGCTAAAGCCTTTTGGTTCACCAGGAACACATTGTCTTCTACTTTAACATACTCATGCAGTGTGACCTGTTGTTTGGGTCCAAAAAAAGCAACAGACATTGTGGTACATTTGTGTGGTGGCATTAACTGTGTTATTTATACTGGGATTAACTTAGTCATTTATACTGGATTTAACTTTGTTAATTATTCTGTGTTTAATTTTTGTTAATTATAGTGGGTTTAACGTTGTTAGCAGGGTTTAATGAATTCACATGCTGTATTTACAAAATAATTTAAATATTTACTTAAATGTACCACAACTTCATCAGTCATGTGGAAAAGGTCTGTGCCTAATTTAGCTTATACTATGTATTTATAAATAATTTACATGTCTACTTTATTGTACGACAACCACCGCTGGATAAAAATCTAATTTTTTAAATAGAAAAGATAATCAACATTAAAAAAAGTGAAGCTGTCTTACCGGTCTAAAATCATTAAAATAAACATCAGCATTGAGAAAAGTCTGCAGTTCATTGATGTTGTTCAGTGTGGCACTCATTCCAATGATCTGTGTTTCACCTGTTAAAATACACAGTTCATTCATTAGTTGTCTGGTGTGAGGTCATGCTCACTTTTAACACTATCATTATCAGAACATTTGTAACAGGTTATTTTTAATTTCATACATAAATAAGCTAAATACTCATGGTTAAACTACAATGTAGCTATTACTTGGGGCAGTAATTATTTTCAGCAGTGTGGCTTCTAGTATGGCTCCTCTTGATCCACCTTCTCCGATCATATGAAGCTACAAAATAAAAATTATACAATAATATTCACCTACAATACACTTTTTTAAAACTTTCAAACCAATCAATAACTAAATCAAAATGTATTGTGTTGATACTATTTACTTTATGGAATGGTGTGGTAAAATGGTAGAGCTTATGTCTGTTAAACCAAAAGTCTTGAGTTCGGACCAAAAGTCTTGAGTTCGGATCACAGGCTCGAGTCTGTAGGACATCCCTGAGTACATCCAACTCTGATGGGTACCTGATTCACTTTTAGGGAAACAAAAGCAGCTTGGCATAGCACTGACCACATCATCTCCTTGTGTGCTGAGGTCATTGAAACAGATTAACTCAACTTTATCTGCCCCATATATCTTGGACATGAACGGGAAAAGATGATAATTTACTTATGATTAATCTTAACTCAATTAAAACCTTACCTCCTCCACTCAATTAAAACCTTACCTCCTCCACTCAATTAAAACCTTACCTCCTCCACTTAATTAAAACCTTACCTCATCCACCACAACTAGCCCTAGAGAGCCCATCCTGTCAGTTTCTAACAAACTATTGATCAGAGAATGGCCTTTCTCAATAGTAGCAATATATAAGGATTTCTTGCTTTGTTTCTTCACAGGTGGGAATCTTCCTTTACTTCCTGCATATTCTTCAACAATAAAGCCTAGCTCTGTGGCAAATTCACTGATAGTTTGAACCTAAAACCAAAGATTTCATTAATTGTATATTTAACTTGGTTTTTACTAATACAAGTACACAGGTAGAGACAATCATTTTTTATAATATTAAAATCTGTAAAAAAAAATTAAAAAAAAAAAAACAAAAAAAAACAACCAAAGACTTAAGAGAATATACTACAACTAGAATTTAAAACTATGTTCAGACTTTTTCAAAAATTGACATTTTCAATTACTTGGGCAGTTGGGTAACAAAAATATATTTGCTAGTAGCAGTTAAGAAGTTGTTTTTTTAAATACATTTACACATCAACAACTCAAAACACACACACCTCCTATTAATTAAAGGCTAACCTTTTCTTGAACGATGGAAACATATGGCAAAATGAGCAGAGCATCCCTGTGGTAGCACATGAGCTCCCTCATGATAAGGACCTCGGCCACCAGTGTTTTCCCACCACTGGTTGGCAGGGTGTAGATCAGGTTCCTGCGTTCTTTGATGGCTGGAAGCTTCAAGCACTCGTCCTGCCAGTCTGTTGGATGAAATCATTTGAAACTAACCCAATGTGGCCAGATATAAAATATGGCAAATTTTAAGTGGATTCTATTCAGACAAAATAAACTTGACTGATTAAATACACATTTACAGGTACTAAAAAATATATCATAATCTGAAGTATTGAAGTCAGTAAGACTTAACTCAAATAAACTATAAACTCAATAAAGTAATTAGGTTTGATGCATTGCGCTTTTAATTCTACTATATTTTTAGACATCACATAATGGTGTTACTAGTTGGTTGTGCATTATAATCTGTGATTACAACCCTACAAGATTTCAATTTTTTGTCTTGTATTCACTGCTATCATATTCATAATAAAACAGTTTTGCTTGTTTTGTTAAAAATGTTATTTTTTCTATATTGTGCTTTCCAAAAAATAAAAATAAAATGTATACTAACTTTTAGTATGAAAATAAGAACATTGTCTATGTAGTAAAAATAACTTTACTTACCATACAACTTGGAAATTCCTCGATTGGTTTCAAACAACTTCTGGACTTTTAAAGGGAGCCCATAAAAAGGGCCAATATCGACCTCAGTTCCTTCCTTTCTGATCTGCGAGGCCTCAAGCTTTGCCTGCTGCACAGCCTCTAGTTTGATCCATTCCTCCGGATCCTTGTTGTGACCTATGACCCCCACATTCTGCTGGAGCCTCTGTTTGAGTCTTTCCTTTAGAGACTTGAACTCACTGCTTGTCACCTCATTAGGCTGAGCTATGGGAGCACTTGTATGTGTTATAGAGCTATCCCTAACTACATCTGATGTTGAGATATGAGGTGTCTTCAAGTCCTGCTGTGACGAAGCTACTAACGACTGACAAAAGGATTTACTGTTTGCAGATTCAATATTCTCCACTTTTTGGTCAGTAGAAGTGACTTTGTTTTCACAAGAATTTTTTTTAGGTGATGAAACATTACTTGTATTAATATCCTTAATATGGCTCCTACCAATAAAAAAATACTCTGACAATGAATCATCAAGGCTTGTTTCTGTTGCGGTCATATCAACAACATTACCCCTATGTGTATTTATTGCAATTGCCTCGTTAGAAGAACTAACTTTAATATTGTCCACAAATGTTCCAGCTTTATCATGATTTCCATTTACAAATGTATCTAAAGAATCTTCTTTTAACAAGTCCCCTGAGTCATTAAATAAATCAATTTCTGCAGAAATATCTACACAAACATCACATTCCTTAGAAACTGAATGTTTCTGTTGACTTCTTTCAGATAAATGGGAATCAAATAAGTTTTTACCGACTAATTCTGGTTTTGTTTTTGAATCTCTTTTCCTTGTGTAAATATGTTTTGAGGTTTTATGTCTAGAAGCTGTGTTTGAAGAAGTCCTTTTTGTGCTAGAAGATCTGAGACACATTAGAGGAGACAACCCTGTTAGGTCCATTTCAGCTAGTGCCAGATCACTGTCACTAAATTTGTCAAAGTCATCATGATAGCCCTGGAAGGGAAAGCAATAATATAGGTTCATCTAGCCAATAGGTACATTCATTAAGTGTCAATGTCATCAACATGTAAGTGCAAGAATTATTTAAAACAAGCTATCAAACCAGTATAAATTTGTTTAGTCATATTTCCAAATAGATATAGACAGGCCAACAAACCATGTTTGACTATTTTAATAACAGCGCAGTTAGGAAAAAGCAAGACAACAAATCAATTATAAATTTATACCTATAGAAATGATCATTTAAATGTGATCTTCTTCTTCTTCGTTCTTAATGTTTAGTGTTGGGAGGGATTGAGCCTTATCTGCTAGAGGGTTTGAACTCGAGACTTTTTTCAAATTTATCAACCATGAGCTTTACCGACTCGACCATGTTTCCATCACAATTAAGGATTACGTGTCAACTGGTTATGCGCCATTGAGGCCATTGACTCTGATTTCAGCCTGCTTTTCTTTTTGGATTTGCTTCCATAGACTTTGTCCAACCAAGAACAAACTACAAGGCAGCAGTTGTTTGATTTTGGAGTTGTCTCTCCTAGTAGAGTGGCTGTCCCCAGGTAACGAGCCTCATCTGCCCGAGGGTTCGAACTCGAGACTTTACGGTTTAGCAACCATGAGCTTTACCGACTTGACCACGCCGACCCCTTATTTAAATATGATAATTATGCTGTCTTCAGCAAACTTCTTAAAAGGAATGTGATATCTTTTATCATATGCATCACAAAAAAAAAAATAGGTAAATTTAAATAAACAACAAAATCAGAGATTAAGTTAACAATGATCATTATATTAAAAAGACAGGATTTTAACATGTATTCCAGCCTTTTACTTATCACTTCTTGTATCTATCTCATTGCCTAGATTAATCAAAATAATCATTACAATACATAGAGTTTAACTATGTATTCTACCATGCTAACATTTCATAATTCAAGTAAAAACTATATTAGTTACCTCAACACTTGTGTCCATAATAATTACTGAGTTGTCTGTTTTAGGTTGCTTGTTGGTATCTTTGCTAGCTTCTGAAATGTTAGTGTGTGCCAAATGTGATCTTTTTAAACGCTTTGATGAAGACCTTTTGCAGACAGGTCCAGTGTCATCTGGTTCATCCATTTAGATTTCAATACAACATTGACATGATTCAACCTGTTCTAGTAAAAAATAAGTTGTTTTTAAAATTACTTTAGAAGAGAAATTGTTTATAACAGCCTAAAAATCAGTGCCAAGGCAATGATTTAATAATTAATTAATTTATGTTACAAGCTACATACTACATAGCACATAGATCTACTAGATCTAGACTAGATCTACATAATACATACAAATGTGGGGCTTGAGTGTAGGTCAGTGTAGTGTAGGAGCAAAAGAGATGGGCCACAAGCAAGACAGTGAGTGACCCTTCTTGAAGAACTTTTACTAAAGACTGCAGTGCAGAGTCTTAGAGTGGCTTAAAGACAGCCAAATACAAGTATTATATAATATATAGTATATAGTCCACAGTTTTCAACTTCTACCTCTGCCAGTGGCCGGCGGTTGTTAGATGATTGAGACTGAGACTATTTTACTATTTTATAATTTTTTTATTTTATGATTTGAGACCCAGGCCGTGAAACTGAGACTGAGTGAGTGGACTTGTGCTGATGATCTAGAAATCTAGATAGTATTTTCGTGTTGTATGTGTAGATCTGAATCCCTAGGCCTAATTAAAAATAGATAGAATCTAGAGCTAGGCCCTAAAGATCCAGATCTAGATCTAGATCTAGATCTAGATTCTAGATGTCTAGATCTTGGATAGACGATCTGTTTTGATTGCTGTTTGAATTTAGTGTTTAGGAAGCGTAAAAATGAAACCGGAAATCTTCACGTTTTTATTTTTTTTTAATTTAGGCCCAAGAACGGTAACCCTTACTCATTGAACAACTTGAAGTTACTCCTGTGTCAGAATGACAGCAGTCCTAACTTCATAACATAAACATCACAAAGTTAGAGTCTAGTTTGTTTTATAATTTTATTAATTAGGTCTCTAGATCTAGTAATAAAAGTATTTGATTTTTTGTAGTATTACTGGGTTAAACTCATAGTACGCTAAGATGGAGTTTTACCGAGTCAGTGACTGCTAACTCAGTAACTGGGAACTGCCTTATTAACTTTTGACTGAGGCTTAAGCCTTAGGCTTAGCCTTAAGCCAAGGCAAGTATCAAGTAGCAAGTAGTGCAGTGTTCAGTGTCAGTTTTGTACTGTACAGTAGTTAATTAATAATAGTTAGTGATTAGTGTTACACGTTAGCCTAACTTTAGTAACTTTTTTTAAGTAACTTAAGTTAGCCAAGTTACTCACTACTTGTCAATACTAAAACTCTCTCTAAAACTACTTTAAAGTTTAAAGTACTTTACTTACTTACTAGCCTACTGACTACTGCATTCACTTCATACTTTATTCATACTATTATAGTATTACTATGTTAGTATGTTCAATGTGCTGATAAATCAAGATCTAGTAGTTAACGTAAGTCATTTTGTTGGCCTATACATACTACTAGTACATAGGACTGCATACATAATGATATTATGATATAGATCTATCATAGTTATATGCTACTTATTAGACTGTTCTCATCATGGTGCTTCACTTCTCAGCTACTTTCAATCCTTATTGGTTAATTAATAATTTATAGTATACCTATTTCCTACTGAAATATCTTCCTGCATAAAATAAAAATTATTAAATTTTGTAACAATAATCAAACATTTACACTTTTACAGTTGTTTTTTTTTTTTTTTTTTCAAGGATGCTGGTCAACTTTGCCTTGGATATATTGGGAACAACAGTGGAAGCTGATAAGGTCAGCACAGATGGGCATGAATGCGCAAACTTGATCAGCTCCAACTGGCAAATAAGAAGAAAAGGATTCCTGGCTGAATCCTTCATCAAGCCACCAGTGAATATAACTTTCACATTCCCTTGTTGGGTCAGTATTGACCAGGTGGTCCTCACACCAAGTGTTGGGCAGCAGCAGTCCATGCAAATAGAATTGCTTTCAGCATCACGTCCAGTGCCTAAGAATTATGAATCTGTTAGAACTAGTTCCACTCCACCTTTATTTTTTTTAGTCTCAAAGCTGGCCGGGCTCAGGGGTGGGCAGGTGTGCTTTTACAATTCAAATACTCACACCTCATTGGTTGGCGCTAATGAACACTATGAGTGTAAGGTGCCAATGAAACATGGCAATAGAAAACTTCTCCATGCATCAAGCCACATCATTTTAAGGATAACACGCACCCATAATGGCTCAACATCTGCTGTCAGCAATGTTAGTATATGGGGCGTACCAGCGTCTTTTGTGCCTTTTCAATTAACTAATACAATTTCAAACAAATATAAGGAATTTATACAACCGAGCCATTTATCAGAACAGTCTGCTTGTGTATCACAGTCTACAGTTCACAATGAAACCATAACTGTTCCAGTATCTGAAAATAAGCAAAAGGATACAGAAATCCCTGAAGAATTTTTAGACTGCCTGACGTGGGAAGTGATGACCATACCTATGCTACTCCCGTGCGGTAAAAACGTAGACAAGTCAACAATAGACCGTTACATCAAGGATGAGTCCTACTATGGCAGGAAGCCTCGTGATCCATTCACCGGTGTTGAGTTTTCAGATTCTCTCAGGCCTCTTCCTAACGGAGCTCTGAAAACCCGGATTGACCGGTTCCTCATACAGCACAGCATGGACAGGACTATTGGTAGCTTGGCCAGAACGGTCAGTGATAAGCTGCCTTCTTCCCTGCTGGGTAAGAGAAAGCTGACATCTACTGAAGGTGTTTCATCCTTAGTCACCGCAGGCAGGGTAACAATAGAAAACCATATCACAGAGACTACATCAAAGTCTTCATCATCTAGGGTGGAAACAACTGTTTCATTGCAGGACAAACACAGTAATAGCAATGCACTTGCCACATCAAAGTCTTCATCATCTAGGGTGGAATCAACTGTTTCATTGCAGGACAAACACAGTAATAGCAATGCACTTACCACATCAAAGTCTTCATCATCTCGAGTGGAATCAACTGTTTCATTGCAATGCTATGTGTCAAATTCTCCTCAAACAAGCAATGAAAAATATATCCAAGAAGAAATTCAAATTCACCAAAGTACACAAAGTCAACCCCCCCTTTTGCATGAAGAAAAGTTGAAAGACAGTTTGAATTCTGCACTTTCTTTAATTCTCAAGAGACCTTCTAATTCTAGTACGCAGGAAAATTGTGACAATAGTTGCTGGCGATGTAAAACAATGTTGACTTCAGAAGTGGTCTCCTACTTGTCCCCATGTGATCATGCTGTTTGTAGAGACTGTCTCATCAGAGGCAACAGCACATCATCTGATATTGTGTGCGGAGTGTGTAGCAGAGTCTTTGAGAAAAAGCAACTGATCAGAAAACATAATTAGATTCTAGTTTTTCTTTCATTTTTGTGTTGTATTTAATTTATAGAAATGTTTGTGTTCACTTTGTTGTATTCAGATGTGTGAATATAATATATACACAACGCAAGAAAAATGTATTAGTAATTGTCATTGTAACATGTTAGCTGGGTTGAGTAGTAGGGCGCAATTCTAAAGCTGCAGTTTCAAATTGCTTCTTCTGCCTATTTTATGTCCTTAAATCTACCCATCCCAGCTCTGATGTATAGCTGTCACAAAATTTTACTCAGTATTAAAATGTCTACACCATTACTTGAGTAGCTATTCAAACAGTTCAACTCTACCCTGCAGACCACAAGGTCTGAACACTAATTTTACTCATATAAAATTTACAAATCTAATGAAATAATTTATTTGCAAATATGAATTTTTTTTTTTGTATTTATAAAAATAAATTTAATGCAAAACATTTTTTCACCTTTTAATTTATTTTATTACTAACAAATGTTGATATAAAAAACAAAATATTCAGAGTGAAAAGTGATTTTATCAAATTTAATTGCACTTTGTAAAGAAAAGGCATTAATTTATGACATCATTATAAATAATGATCGTTTCTAGTGTAATTTGAGATATTTACTCAGTCATCAACCAAAGAGAACAAAAATATCTTATGAAATGAATATGGAGAATCTGTCAGCAGTATAAAGCATTGGTTAAAAACAACCTTGGCATTGATTCTAATAATAGCATAAATTGAGAAAACCTAAAAGTATTTTTAAAACTACTACCACTTGTAATTGTGTGTGCAGTCTACTTCTACTTACACTCTGAAGAATTTTATACAGTTGTAATGCTTGTTATGAGGGTAAAAAAGTTGAGCTTGTAGATATTTCCCCTCTAATGTCTTATTTTATTTAATGTAACCACAATTTATAACACAAATGTACATACCCTCCATCCATTCTCCATTCTTCTCGTTTAGTGATGGCATACCTCAAAAACAAAAAAATTTCCCACTAGTTTCCTTGTTAATTAATAACAATTTAAGATTTTTTGACATATCAGTTGTTTTTTAACAATACTAAGAAAATAATGACATTTTGCTGATTATAAAATGTACAGAATTATAGCATACATTTTTAATCAACCTTCAGTCTCAAGAAAAGCTTGAGAAATAATTTCCAATGATCTAATTGAAAGAAATCTCATAAACTGCAAAAACTAACATTCTAATTTTTATCAAGGCTTGAAAAAATTTAATGGTTTGTAAAAGAACTTACTTCAGATTAACAATATCAAAGGCATTTTAAAAAAATACATCATATTCATGTTAAATAACAGATTGCTAAGAATATCACAGCTTGATATTTGAGAATTAAATATAAAAGTACTCCAAAAAAACTTGTAATGTCAGTACAAAACTATACTTTTTTTTTTGTGATGGTAAAATTAAAATGGTTACAAATTAAAAAAAAAATGATTGGTAAGTCTCTTATAAAACCATCTTGAATGAAATGCAAAGAAAAAGTAACTGAACAAACATAAATAAAAGGCAGCAGACTAGCATATGCACAGTACAACTAACAAATAATCACAGAATTGGTTCATATCCATTCCAGTCTATTTCTGCATCTGGCCATCTGAAAATAAAGGTACACATTTTAAACATCTGCCAGTATTTGTTAATTATAGTTTTCTATCATAAATATATATTCAAAAATAGGTGATTTTTGTCCTTATATTTTGGTAAATGTAGTTCTTATATTGTATAAATATATATTAAAAAAATTGGTGATTTTTGTCCTTATATTTTGGTAAATGTAGTTCTTATATTGTATATATTGTATATGAATAGTGGAACTAGGTCACTTAATTAGCCCCAACACAGTGGAACTAGGTCATGTAATTTACCCAAATGCAGTGGAACTAGGTTACTTAATTTACCAAAAATGCAGTCGAACTAGGTCACTTAATTTACCAAAAATGAAGTGTAACTAGGTCACTTAATTTACCAAAAATGCAGTGGAACTAGGTTACTTAATTTACCCAAAAGCAGGGGAACTAGGTTACTTCGTTCTTATACAGTTAAACAAGATCACTTACTTTGTTCTTATACAGTGCTCTAAAGGGGGAACAAGGTCATCTTCTGATACTGGGGGCTTGTATGCTTGATTAAGTGTACCTGAAGAGGAACGTAAAAAGTATTGAAATCTCTGTACCATTTATAATTTTAGTATAAACAAATTTAACCAAAAGTTTGTTGCAAAATAATTTAGTTGGCTAACTCAATATCAGGCAACTATTAGTTGCTTCACTGTCAAACGAAATATTTTTCTCTTTTGTTTTTTAATAAAATTAAAAACAAAATTACAGTAATAGTAAAGCTGCAGATGCATTTCACAAATAATAGGTCTTTAGGTTTCAGAATTCATTACTGGCAGTATTCGACCTACCTGACTTCATGAAAGTTTACTCTCAATATTGATATTAAATAATACAGAAAATGTTTTAAAATCTACCAAAAGTTTTTTTTAATTACATCACATGTAAATTCATGTTTCTTTGACATTGGTGATAGTAAAGACTTTTATACAGCTTATAGCAGCTCACACTAACATAGTCATTACCCATAATGATAGGGTTCACTGTTAGTGTTACTTGACACAAAAAATAAGACAAAAAATGGAAAAATGTATTTGGACTCACTAATGGTGAGTCTGATCTCTTCTTGCTGCCTAGACAGGCCGTCGTAGTAAAACAGGTCAAATCTTCTCTCGGCCTTCCAATCATTGACTAGATCACGCTTTGCTGCAAACAACACACTGAAGTGGCTCTCACTACACACCACCCAGATAGGGTTCTTGGGTGTTTTGTAGTAGGTTCCTACCTGGGAATTCATACATTTCTTTGTTGATTCTATATAAAGCTAATTTTCGTGAATAAATTATCAGAATAATAATGGGCTGAAAAAATTCACATTAACAGGGTTTTTGGCACTGAAATCTCAACTGTTTATGTGATATAATAAATGTTATTTAAATATGCAAATTGATGTACTTAGAAAATTAGTATTTACTTTTTAGAACATTTCATTCATCTTTATAAAATCTAACTTCAAATTGTGCAATGATAATTTTTTCCATCACATTTTTTATTTCATACATATATCAAAGATATAATAAAATATGATCAATATTTTCTTTTAGAATTAGATATGAATGGTTTCATGTATTGAAACTATAAATGAATGTTTTGAAAACAATTGGTTTTATTACATTCTCCTAGCGGGTTAATGTATGTAATAAAAATAACCTTTTCACATCCCCTTGTGGGGTCCCATAAGGTAAATAACAGTTGTATTATCCCCTTCTGGAGTCAACCACCTTACATAAGTTAATTAATTGCAGTGGGATTGCCTACAATAGATAATGTGAAAACCACTGTAATCTCCCCTTGAAAGGTTACCTACCTTACATGACTGATAGTGCTCAAACAGTGACAACAGGCCAATGTCTGATCTCCCAGAGATTCCCTTTAGAATTATTGTATCTCCAACACCTGTCCCTTCCAGCTGTTCTTGATCATTGAAAACATTGGAAACAGCTCGCCCGGTTAATAAAAGGTTGACTAATTCCTGAAAAGTACAAAATTAAATGATTTCAAGCTACCTTCTATTTCAAAGTATCAGAAGTTTAAAAATACAGGAAATATTTTTAAAGTTACGCAAATTAAATATGTTTTTTAAAATATTTAAAATAAAATAATCACATCTGTAATCTAAATAGTCTTGAAGGAACAACTAAGCATAGCACCTTACCCAACAGCATTGTAATACTAAAATGTTTACTAAATAAGCAAACAGCCTCAATAAAGAGTTGACATTAGTAAAAATATAGGCAAGTCAGAATAAAATAACATTGCCACTTGATGAGGAAATAGATCCAGTCATTTACCTGCGTGCAATAACCATGAGATCCAATCAATGTGCTTTGCTCAGGTTCATCAAAGTCACCCCGCACCCTGCAGAACAAATTAATAAAATATGTTTTCAAGAAAGTTACATTTAAATTAGGCTGCAGATTGAAATTCAATAAATAGCTACAACTTTCTTTAACCATCATATAATTTGAGTGTTTGGTTTCAGTTCAAATGTTTTAGCTATACATTTGTCATCATCTCATCATCTTTACCCGTTCCTCCCAAGACACGTGGGACAGATGATGTGAGTTCATCTGTTTCAGGGACCTCGGCATATGAAGGGATAGTATAGTCAGCATTATGCCCAGCCGTCTTTATTTCCCTAATAAAGTTAGGTACCCATCAGAGCTGAGTGGACTCAAGGAAGTTCTACTGACTTGAACTCAGATTCAAACTTGAAACTTTAAGTTTAGCAGCTTAGCACTCTATCGTTACACTGTCCCCTTCTACACTTATACTTTCTATAACAGTTTTTAAAAATTATTTTTACATTGAAATTATTTTTAATAAAAAATTGAGAAATCATCAAGTTAGCCAACTTACTGAGGGCATTTTCTTGATAACATGGCTGAATATATAGTTAGGATAACTCCAGGTTTTCCTTCTGTTTCAAACTACAACAAAAAAGAGTTTATAAAAATGATAATGAATGAAAGATGACTACTGGAATGTAAAAATAAAAGATGAACACAAAAAGTGAACATAGAGTGATTTGTAAGAGATATAGATCTTGCGATGATTGGAATACATGGTTTCATATGCTATTTATATAATACAAAATTAGCTGTAATGGGTACTAGCATTAGTTAGAGAGCAGTAAAAAAAAACTATTAGCCTCTTAACATATTTCTACTGAGTAATTGTCTAACTTAATGTCAACTAAAAGATATTTTTTATATATTTATTTCATTTTAAACAGAATTCTCATCATAGTTATCAATTTAATTTTCCAATTAGCCTCAAGTAATTAAAAAATTTTGAATTAAACACTTAGATATGCAATGGATAAGATCAAAATTTGCTACTAGCTACAACATTATTATGTTAGCTGTAAGTCACTAAGTTAATTCGCCTTTAAAGATTATCATTTAAATTTTAATATCTGTCTTAACAGCTTACCTCAGATATAGACTGCTGCATAAAACTTGACAGGGTATCAAAGCTTGTGAATGTATAAATTGATAACTGAAATTAAAACCATTGTGAATTTTAAAAACTGTAATGCAATGCTTTTTGTATTTTGTAATTTAGAATTAATTATCATCACAGTTCAATCTTCAAAACCTCAACTCTTCTTTCTCCCCCCCCCCCCCCCCCCCACCTCCCACTACTATTTATGGATAACCCCAAAAGTGTATGACTGTTAGATTACAATTACAGCACCAGCTTAGGTCTGTAAGCTTGTAAAAAGGTCTGTTTTTTTTATCATGAGTGTATCAATAATCAAGTATGTGTCTATGAATTCCCTGTGAAAATCAGATTGTGTTCACATCATTCCTCTCATGATGTTACCTGCTCTGTGACTCCATCTTGTTTGAACTTGGTGCTGCTTAGTATATGTGAAGTTTCTGAAGGTCTGTAACAAAGGAAATGGTAGAGGGCTTCTTCTAGTGTTGGTAAATATTTGTACATAATACATAACTCTAAATCAGACCTATGTGATTCTCTCATTTACTGGCCTGAGCAAAGTAAATGTGTCAGTGTAATTTAAATGTGCATTGAACTCCAGCAATTAGATTTAAGTATAACGATGTGTAATTAAAACAATGTAATTTAGATAATTAAAATAGATGTGTAATTAAAACAATGTAATTTAGATAATTAAAACAGTGCCAAAAAAATAAAAAATGAGAAAGAAAATAGTATGAACTTTAAAACTGTTTTACTTAATTGTGTAATTAAATAGTGTTTAGTAAAAAATGTAAATTTTTTTAAAACCCTAGAATTGAAACAGTGTAAATAAAACATTATGTAATTAAAATGATGTGTAATTAAAATGATGTGTAATTAAAATGGTGAGTAATTAAAATGCTGTATACTTAAAATTTTTGTGTTATAACTGTGTAAAAATAACTATGTATATAAAATTATGTATTTATAATTTGTGTTGCAACTATAACAACTAAACTTACACTGTTACTACAGCTCTGGCAAAGTCGCCTGCACGCCAAAATATATTACTTAAGGCTAGAGCCAAATACTTGGACCTCTCAGCTCTTGTGGGGTTTTTGCTAGGTGACGGAAGAAAAAATCTTTTACCAAATAGAAATCTAAAACATTTGACTTAAAAAAAAAAATTATTTACCTTAATAACATGGTAAAATTTACTGGTACAAAGAGATTTAGGAAGAAAGCATAAGCTTACAATCTGCTGCTTGGCAGCTTGCTGTCTCCAAATAGCATCTCCTGTAAAAGACAGGCTTGAACAGCAGCTAAGACACCACAAGGCCCGCCCTGAGGGTGAGTAAATAAACAAGTTAATTAAAAAAGTCTAGTGACATTTATGCGCAATTTCCTTATGTTATCTAAAAATAGCTCTGACGTATAATGCTGGGATGCGTTCAAGCTAGAAGAACGATCGGTTTGTAGGTGTTTATGTAATTTTAAAATTTGTGCCCGAACGAGAGGATATTTTTGAAAACTTTCTTTGGCAATATTGTTCTAAATTATGGCAGGAATCGATTGGTACATGTTTCAAGTCGCTAAGTGGTCTGGTTGCCGAGATATGGGCAAAAAACTGCATTTTTTCGAGGTTTTTTGGCTTTTCCGGGAAATACATGAAAGAAACCCGGAATTTTTATGGCCTATGCTCATCCTCATAACTTGCTTAACATAATTGCTTTTGGAACTAGTCATCGATATTGCTTTGTTGAGGAGGAGATACGACTTAAAGCTGCGGACACACATCCATCCATTCATTCATACATCCAGAAATGACGGGTTAATAAACGCAATTCTCCAGAATGGAAATTGCGCTAAAAACTAACAGTGTACTGTGCAGGTGGTATATAAGAAAACAAGCTTGGTGATGCAAACAAAATAGAGCTGATGAACCAGTTTTAGCCAGTATAGTTTGAAAAAAAAAACTGCCTGTTGATCCCTCTCTACTGCCACATTAGCCTAGTTATTTTATCATCCACCATAAATATATTTATATACAATTTTATAATAAATTTACTGCTAAAATAAATTCAATATGTCCAAAGAAATGTTTTCCAAAGTGTGATTAAACAAATATAATTATAAATGAAATTTAAAAATGTATGAACCTTCTTTTGAACTATTCCATACTTTAGGTCAGGTAAATCACAGAAACTGTAGCCTTGCTGCAGCCATTCATCAATGTACAACTGACAAGGGGAGCCTAACATGAGATTCTTCAATGCCTGAAGTCAAGGAAAATAACTTGCAAAAATACATAGCAAAAATGTTTGGTCCAACTGCTAAAGGAGATATTTATTCATGAATAACTTGAATGTATGCAATCCATGCTTAAAATTTTTGAATGGTGACAGATACAGTGTAGCAGTCATAGTCACAGGGAGATTTAATTATAAATGTTGTCATAATACATCTTTTTTATTAAAGTGTTAGCCAAAGGATAGACAGTAAGATAGAATGATTGACACAATGACCTAATGGACATTCCACATAACCAGAGCAAGTAATTAGGGTTTCCTTTTTCAAAATTCTTTCTGCTATTCCATTTATTTTGTCATGGGACGCATGGTCAGATGGTAGAGCATTTGGCTGCTACTACACAGGTCTTGACTTCAGATCTCAGTTCAAACATGTGACTGTATGAGATCCCAGAGTCGACCCAGCTCAGATGGATATCTGACTTAAGTTGGGGGGGAGTAAAATCGGCTGGGCATAGTGCTGACTAAACCATTCTTTGTTTAAGACACATGTTAAGTCTACTTTATTTGCCCAATGGATCGCTTGGTCTAGATAACAATAGTGTTCAGTTACCATAGCAGTTTTTAGGTCCATTGGTGTAGACGGTACTTTGACTAATTTCAGCTGCTTTGGTCCAACAGGTGCAGCAGGCTTCAAGTTCAAATCTGTCAGATCGGACTCCATGTCATCAATGTCTCCCAGTTCAAGCTCTGTTGTCTTTGGTGAGTTTAAGCTGGCGCCTCTGAAATTGGATAGCAGCGTTTAAAAATTGTCTTTCGATTCAACATCACTATGGTGTACAGCTTGTGACTGGGTTAATTGATGAACTGAGCATCAAGGTTTGGACATTTAAATTGCATAAGGTTGAGAGAAGATATTTTTTTACTCAAAATGACATTTTGTGTGTAAGACTTTAATAATATAGTATTTTAATAAATTTCAAATATATGTTATATAACCATACATTTTATTATTTTATGTAACTAATTTTCAAAGCTGCCTTCTATTTTATTACATTTTTTATGAAAGAGCTTTAAAAGGATCAAATTTGCCATAGATTCATAAACTTCCTTACTTTGTAAAATTATTATTATTTAGAGCTGGCTTTGACTTGCCCGCAAATATGCTTGAAGTTTCCACTTTATAAGGTTTTTCTTCACCAATAGTGTCTTTAATTTTATTCTCCAGCCCAATCCTTTGTAGACGATTTGCCTTCTCCTCTCCTTTCATCAACAGGTCTTCGAAAGATAACGGAGAGCTTTCCGTTTTTTTAGGTTTTTCTTCAATGTTGATGCCACTGTTGGATCTCAGTGCATCGTAGAAAAACTCAGGGGAACTATTTATACTGTTGGACAGGCTATCCTTTTTCTGTTGTTCTTTTTGTGAGACAGACAATCTCAGTGGCTTAGGCTGTTGCATTCTGTTTCTTCCTGTTAAAATCTATACATGGTAGGAAAGATTTTATTATGCACGTTAATTAACATATAGGGATGTTTCTGCATTTTTTTCACTTTAAATAATAAACATTAAATAAAAATTTAAAATTTTTATTTTTTTAAAAAACTTGTTGAAATCTTTTTTCAAATTTTAATAATTTCCTCCCCTCAGTGGATTAACTTTTACAACCCTCATCTAACCAAACATATAAATTAACCATATAAAAATCAAATATTAATAATTACATCATCATTATTGCTGATCATGCTAAATCTCTGCTTAGCTGAGACAGGTCGTGCCAGAACATTCTTTGTGGAATACTGTGGGGGTGGCGATTCAGATTCATTTATGGACATAATGCCAGCCATGCCTACACCAATGACTGTTTCTCCTTCAACGTCATCATCCATCACCAGATCATTTTTATCTGCTTTGAAAATCAAACAAATAATTGAACAAGCAAAATAAGTTTTTTCACTATACAAACAGGATAAAACTGTCGAGCGTGTGGTCTAGTTTCCAGTTCTAACATTACACTAACCGTATATATATACTATCCAGTGAGACATCAAAATGTTAATCATTATTCTGACCTGGTAACTATCGAGTGAGACATTAAAATGTTAATCACTATTCTGACCAGGTAGATGAAACACTGTTCAACGCATTTAAAATATTGATAGTAAAAATTGTATTAGACAAGTGTTGCTTGATAAGTAGACAAACTATTCCTTTTTATTCATCTTAATTTAAATGAGACATGCAAAAATATTTTTAAATAGCTATTTTGAACAGGTTTAAAAAGAAGGAAAATTTTAACACTTTGAAGTTTGCATAAAAATATTAAAAAGTGTCTAGTGTGAGTTAATAGCAAAAGTATATGTAACTAAACACAAAGATCCCCCCTGCATGTAAAATTAATAAATTAATTTGAATCAATACTATGATAGCAATAAATTGTTTCTGAATCCTAAAAGAGTAGCACTAAAATACCCTTTTTGGTTGAGTAACCATTGGTGTGTGGTCTGGAGGTTGATGACACGCTGCTTGTGTTGTTTTGAAATGGTTGATCAACTTGAGGACTAAAATTAACATCAAAATTTGACTGATTGGCAGAACATCTATCTGATTGATTCTGAAGTCGCCGCTCAACAAAAAATTTTGTCATAATTTCAAGCATAGCCTTTAAAGGTTCAATTTCTTCCTGAAAAAAAAAATTATGCTGTATTTAAAAGTTACATAACTTTTACATAACTCTCTATTTCATTACCTGCTCATTAGCCAGGGAAACCAGAGAAAGATGGATAAGTGAGCAAGTAACACAAGTGTTACGAGATATTAGACAGTTTCTGCCCATCGTTTGTTACCTCCCAAAGTGCATACACCACATGTTTTGGACATAAGGGGCAGTTGATTGGAGGGTGACTTAGAGGCTTAAGCCTGGTTTCACAAGTGTGTGTCCTACCACTAAATCACATGATTCCCATAAAGTTAGCTACATGATCTTGAAATCAATAGGAACTAAATTTTCCACCAATAATATTTGATTTTTATTATTTATTATAATTAGTAAAATAAATATCTAAATACCTTATTCTTTTTCATCAGTTTATCCAGATGAACATGCTTCATTAAGGTTTGTCTGTTGCTTATGCTCAATTCATTTCGAGGGCATTCTTCATCCATTTTTGCCAAAGTTTCCTTAAAACCCTTTTTAAAATATTATGAATTTTTTTTTACAATCTTTTTTTTACAATCTTTACATAATAAAAACAAAGTTTATATTCAGCATTCATGTGCTCTACCGTCCAACAATAAATAGATTAAAATGAACTGGTAATATGAAACTCAATTCTGCATGAACTATGTAAACAAAAGGCGAAAGCCTTCCCTACTAGAGCATGAAAAAAATGTGTAACACCAGTATTCCATAAATGAATAGCAGACGTATCCGTCAACTGAAATCGCTAATGGTAGAAAAAGAATGGCATAAAAAAAATAGGCCTAATTAAAGCCATATGATTTAGTCTCTTTCACATAACTTAATACCTTCAGAATCAGAAGATTTTATCATTTTACGGTAGGGTCATAAATTAAAATGATAGATTCCGTTAAACTTTAAGTAATATGGCCTTTACTATACTAGAGGGACGGAGTGGTCTAGCGGTAGAGAGCTGGACTGCTAACCCGTAAGTCTTGTGTTCGAATCCGGGTTCAAATCAGTGGACCGTCCTTGAGTCCACCCAACTCAGTGCTGACCACACTATCTCTTCATATGCCGAGGTCACAGAAACAAGTGAACTCTACTTCACTTGCCCCATATAGACTGTCAGGTTCGAAAGGGAAACTTTTTTCATAAATTAAAATGATAGATTCCTTTAAACTTTAAATAATCTGGCATTTACTATACTAGATATTATATTAGATTGAGATTCTATATCGAAGTATATTGTATTCGAAAAAGAAAAACTCAGTAAAAATTGAAAACTGTGTTTATTTTTATGCTACTTTTATTTTAATTTAATAATTTTATTAGGCCTAATTTAATTTCAATTTGAACTAATTTCAATTTCAACAACAAACTTACTTTTCTGCTTAAATATTCACGAACAAGAGATGCTGTAGCAGCTTCAATCGATGCATTGGTTCTTTCCATTATTTTGCTATCTAGAAAAAATATCGTATTTCAAAATTTTATAACATTAAGTTAAAAAATGGTGTGTTTATATAGCCCGTTGTGGATCTTTCTATTGATTTTTCATTGGGCGGCCATGTCTAAACAAAATAGTTTCATAGAGATAATAAAAAGCGTAAGCGGTAAAACACGTGAATAAAAATAGATCTGCATCTAAAACTTCAATCAAACAATCTATTAATTAATTTTTTTATTAACATAGAAAAACTAATTAATAAAAATTATTTTAAAAATTATTCAGCAATAATCTAAATTGATATCGTTGTATGGTGGATACATTCATTTAACTAAATCTCAATTATTTCCGTCATATTTTAATTTACGTTTTTATAGCAAGAGCGGTACAATCTAAATAAATAGATTTATTATGAATGTATTATTACTAGATTCTATTTATTATTACTCTTACCAGATCTGTTCTCTAGATTTCTGAATAGACGTCAGAAAGAAACTGATTTTATCATCTTTTGATTATCATTTGAGCCCCCCCCCCCCGTTTTTGTCCTCAAAATGGAATTTGTCTATGGTTACCACATCATTGACATTGTCTTGGGAATCTGCATCCTCCCCCCCCCCCCCTCCCCCACCTGTTCAACTGCTGCTTATGCCGCTGAAGTTTTTATTAGTTTAACTTTATAGTTACGCAGAGGCGTAGCGACCCTTCCCGAGGACAAACTTTTCGATTTGCACCCCCCATCAAGATTTCAATTTGCACCCCCCCCCCCTCTCAACCTTTCAATTTATTTTTCCAACCCATTTTGGGGCCCCCTAAAGGTCTGCGCCCGGGGACATATGTGTGTCCCCCGCCCCCCCTCGCAACGCTACTGTAGTTACGCTATTAATTATTATAATTATTCTCTCAATTGATTATAAAAACTCATATACAAGAAGTAGGGTTTTTCAGACATCATGACCAGGCACTGATCACAATAATGGGGGGGGGGGGGGGGTGTATAGACTATAAAATATAAAGTCACTATAAAATATAATTGAATAGGCTATAATTGGCTATATTATTAATATATAATAGGGCCTAGAGATATATAGTGTTGTACTATTTCATTAGTAGTAATATTTAGTAATTTTAAAAATAAATGTGGAAACGCTCCTCATTTTTCTTTAGAAATCATTAGATGGGGGGGGGGGGGGCATTTAATTTTTATAAATCTTTTTAATGTAAATACTAATAGATCTAAGTATTGTACAATTAGCTAAAGAATACATTTATTTCTATCCTTTTCTAGCAGGCTTACTAAGATTTTGAAAAAAAAAATTTCAGCCTCCTGCTTTAAGTGAAAATGAGTCTCAAAGCATCACCACTACGTAAGTTTTCTTTCATATGCCCATTTGCATTGATTTAAAACATTCCATGCAACAACACACTTTTAATTCTGTGTACCTGATAAATAATTTTCAATTTACATAGATCTAAATACAATTTTAATTATAAATCAGTTTTAATAATCTGCACCTCTTTAGACCTGACAGTCATTAGGGCACCTGTTTCTGTGACCACTGCATATGGAGGAATAGTGTGGTCAGTAGCTTACAATGCCCAGCTACCTTTATATTCCCTAATGTATGCCAATAACCCATTAGACGATGGTTAACCTAACAGTCTACCAACCAGCTGCACCATCCCATAATACTTTGGCAGCTGTATACCTACCTCTCATAATAAAATTTTTTATAGCTGGCTCCAGATTTTGGTCTATATTTTTAAATTTTCATTGTCTTAAATGAACCACACTACACATTTTTGGTTTAATTTATATTTTTTAAAATTCATTTCTTAATTAGCATTTGTGTTTATTTAGTAACTTGATCAACTGTAAGATTTCACTTGATATTTCGTAACAGGTCACAGTGTTTACAACAGGTTTCTCTTCATGTCAAACTCACCACTTGAGCGTTTAAATAAAAACTGTAAGTATTCTTCAGGCGAGGAGAGTTGGAAGAAATAATAAGACACTTTAATGAACCAAAAATTAATAATAAGTTAAACTTTATATTTTTGGATAAAGAAATAAATTATTGGGGGGGGGGGGGGACAGTCTAGCAACATAAATAGCTGCTTTTACCTTTATGTTATTTTCAAATGTGGGACAATTTTCCACTGTATTTCTGGCATCAACTTTCTCATCAAGTAATATCAGGAGCAGTTTAGGAGTATTTTTTTTCCTGCTCCTCTTGGAATAAGACTTGGCTGCTAGAAGAATAGCTTTGGAGAAAGTATATATGTCATACCTCCCAACCTAGCACTAACCATGAGTCTAACCTGAAAGATATAGTATTTACTATTGTCAATTCAAGCAATCTAAATATTTAAGCACAACTAGTTAACCAATAGTCCATCACTTTGCTTTTTTTTTTTTGTCATTTTTTTAAGTAAACAGACTTATCTATCTTAGATAGATATCTTTATGAATTTACTACATTGTTAAATAAAATAATGATAAAAAAAATCTCTTTGTAGAAATAAACATGGTATAAAAATATTAATCATTTTTAGGTTTATCTTTATCGAGATAACTGTTGTACCTAGTCTTGTTTTTAACTTCTATAAGTCATATTGTCTTGTCTTGCAACTGCCTATGTCTTTACTAAAACTGATTAAAGATGTTTTTCTTTATTTTTTTAGATTTTGCTGAGGACCCACATATTGTGCAAAATATTCCTTATGCTTCTGATATGTTAAAAAATCATGGGTAATTATTCTTTTTTTACATTGTGCAATATCAATAAAATTTACTATTTCACAATTTACTATAAATTAGATTAAATACCAGATTGAAACATATTTATTTTTAATCACATGATATATATTTATGTAGAATTGGATGTGGATCTAACATTTGATAGATGTTTTTCAAAGATTTTAGATCATTTTCAGAGATTTCACCTAATTTTTATTTTAAAAAATGTTAAAAGAAATAGGCCTACAAGTAGTTAATTGAATTAGTTACCTTAGATTATCTCAACTTATAGGCGTACATTATTTTTTTATTTAAAATACCATAGAAAATATAATATGTATTAAAACAAAGGCAGTCGTAAGCATGTAAAATATAGCGTTTAATTCTTGGGTTAAGTGATGTAATATATTTGTTTTAAAACTTTTCAGGAAATGCCCTTACTGGACACTTTTAAGAAAATTCTGCCCAAGTATATTAGATCACCAGATGAATAAAAGAAATATAAATGGACAAAAGAAGAAAATATTTCCTGAGCAGTTAGTAAAAAACGAAGCACCTATTCTTGGTGTCTACTTATTTATTAGAAGTGTTCTCCTGAAGCTTATTCCAACAGAGTTACTTGGAAGTAAGCATAACTTCAACTCTTTTTTACAAAAAGTTAAGAAACTGCTAGCTGTCCAGCATCATGGGAAGATTTCACTCATGTTTATCACAGACGGTCTTAAAACCAAAGTTATCGCCTGGCTTAGGAGTTTTGATCTGAAGCAGCAAAAAGAAAAGCTAGACCATGTCGTCCACTACCTGATCACCCGAGTTATCTCCCCTTTGCTGCAGTCCTTCTTTCACATTACAGAATCAACAACCAACAAAAACAAACTCTATTTTTACCGCAAGAAAACATGGCAGAAGCTCACACTTGCTTCGTCTGAAAAATTCAAACGTCTGTGCCAGCTCAAAATGGTCCCTGAACAATCAGTGGAGAATCGCATCAAAAATAGCAAGTGTTTAGGGGTCTCGAAAGTCAGGTTTCTAGTAAAAAAATCAGCTGTAAGGCCTATCTTTAACCTGTCCTATAGCAAGAAACGTGCATCAATCAATCAACATTTGAGGACTCTATTGCATGTGCTGACCTATGAGAGAGACAATGACCCTGAGATGTTTGGCTCAAGTGTAATGGGGTTGGACGAAGTCCACCTCAAATGGAAAGAGTACGTAGCCAAATTTCCCAAGCCCTTGAAACAAAAGCTGTATTTCGTCAAGCTAGACTTAGAAAAATGTTTCGACACAATCAACCCATGTCTGTTATATGGTATTGTTGCTGGTATCTTGAAGAAAACACAGTATAAGGTATACAGGTATAAAAGACAAATCACAATCGGTGGGGGACAGACAAAGTCAGTTTATTTTGAAAGTTTGCATCCACCGTCAGAATTTAATAAAAAATTCGGAGAGAAAATCGTATCTAATGGTTCGTATTTAGTTACGAAAGAAATTCTTCTGCAGAAGTTGTGTGCACTTCTGTTTTACAATGTCACTAAACTCGGCAAGCAGCAATTACATTCAGACAGTTGGGATACCACAAGGTTCCGTTGTGTCCAGCTACTGTGCGCAGCGTATTACGGTCACATGGACAGAACTATGCTCGGGCCTCATTCAGGGCAGAAAAGATCTCCTGATTAGGATGGTTGATGACATGCTGTACGTAACTCCCGTCAAAGAAAAATGCAGAGTTGTTGCTCAAAATATTTCTGGAAGTATCCCAGAATTCAACTGCCGGAGCAACTTGAAAAAAATGCAGCATCAACTTTGAATACAGCCACCCAGTGTTTGGAAGGGTCCCAAACCTCATTGATTCTCAAGACAATTTCATCAATTTTGTGGCTGGCTTTTGATACTACATCTCTCTCCAGTCTCTTTAGATTTCTCAAACTACAACGGCCTCAGAGCCAAAGAACACCATCTCATGGGAACTAACCAAGCATGCAGAGCAGCTTCAAGACTAAAAATACTCTCCTCCGTCCGCCCTAAATCCTCCTCTATAGTTT